TAAACCCCACTTGTGGCTAGTGTGGTACCGGGGATCCTGGACACCGAAATGAAGGCAGCCAGAAAGGTGCGAAGAGAAGAGCTAGCGCTGTAGCCTTTTTTTAATGACGTGATTACACGCTTTGCACGTATTGAAAAGAACCAAAGGACTCCTTCGGTGAACAAATTTGAGTTGCACAATGTCACCTGATTCCCGGTCAACATACAGAATTTGGTTGAGCTTTTACCCGCCCACAATAAACAGCAAATAGTGTTAAGGCCTAAAATGGCAGCAGGGCCGTCAGACACCTGGGAGCGACTGTCACACACCGCATGCCACACCGCATGCCAATAGCCGTAACGGGTTGTTAAGAGAAAACTTACAAGGGAGCAGATGACGAGGAAGGACAGTGAAGCGAACGCCCTCTCTGTTCCCAGAGCTCAGGCCAGCCCGTGCCTCTGGTGGTGGAGAGCTGTGTCCGCTTCATTAACCTGAACGGTAAGCGACCCCCGGGCCCGCCTACTGCCGGCCTGGCGCTCAGCCCCCGGCGCCCGAGCCTGGGGATGGGCCTCGGCACGCATCCGCTCTTGTCCTCCCTCAGGCTTGCAGCACGAGGGCATCTTCCGGGTGTCGGGTGCCCAGCTCCGGGTCTCAGAGATCCGAGACGCTTTCGAGCGAGGTAGGGACCGGCAGGACGGGGTGGGGGTGGGGCGCTGGCCAGAGCTGCTGCGATCGGCCCTCCGCTCTCTCGGTCACCCTCAGGGGAGGACCCACTAGTGGAAGGCTGCACGGCCCACGACCTGGACTCCGTAGCAGGGGTGCTGAAGCTCTACTTCCGCAGCCTGGACCCCCCGCTCTTCCCACCGGACCTGTTCAGAGACTTGCTGGCTTCTGCGGGTGAGGCCAGGGCCTGGGCCCGGCTGGCGGGGGGCGGGTGGAGCGGGGGCCGCTTTCCGCTGGCCGCGGTCATACTCACGCGCTCCTTTCCTCGGGCGGCGGCCTGGGCCACAGAGCTGGAGGCCGGGGCGGAGCGGGCGGAGCTCGTGAGCCAGCTGTTGGCCCGGCTGCCCGGACCGGTGCTGGTGGTCCTCCGCTACCTCTTCACCTTCCTCAACCAGTGAGTGCTCCTTAGGGGACGAGGAGGGCTGCCCACGGGGGTGCGGGGGACGCCGGGCGGGGAGCCCGCTGCCCCTGACCCACGTGCGCCCGCAGCCTGGCTCAGTACAGCGACGAGAACATGATGGACCCCTACAACCTGGCCGTGTGCTTCGGGCCGACGCTGCTGCCGGTGCCCGCGGGGCAGGACCCGGTGGCGCTGCAGGGCCGCGTGAACCAGCTGGTGCAGACGCTCATCGTGCAGCCGTCGAGGGTGTTCCCCGCCGTGGCCGTGCTGCCAGGCCCGGTCTACGAGAAGTGCATGGCGCCGCCTGCCACCAGCTGCCTGGGGTATGCTCTCTTTGAGCCGGGTTCGGTGGCGCGGCACGGGGGAGCCCCCTCGCCTACTCAGACGCCTCGCTCTGACCTCAGGGACGCCAGCCTGGAGGGCCTGGCCGGGGAGAACGAGCAGGAGCTGGAAGCCGGGACCCCGGCCCAGGAGGACAGTGAGTGGGGGGGGGGGGGTTGCGAAATGAGGAGGGCCTGGCCTCGTCTCGGGCCTGAGCGCCCACTCCACCTCCCAGCTCAGACCTCCTTTTCTCCCCAGACCCGGAGGGGGTCGTGGAGGCCGTGGCCTGCTTCGCCTACACGGGCCGCACAGCCCAGGAGCTGAGCTTCCAGCGCGGGGACGTGCTGCGGCTGCTCGAGCGGGCCTCGGGCGACTGGTGGCGGGGCGAGCGCGCTGGCGCCCGGGGACTCATTCCGCACAAGTACATCACGCTGCCCGCGGGGTGAGTGGGCCGCCGCTCGGTCAGCCAGGGTTTCGGCCCGGCCCCTGCCCCGCGTCCTAGCTTCCCCTTGCCCGGGGCACCCACCACCGAGCCCGCCGGCCCCCAACAGGCTGTCCCTCTGACCCCAGTGCAGAGAAGCACGTGGCCGGCCAGGGGCCACAGGCTGCGGGGGAGCCGCTGAGCAGTCCAGACGTCCTCCTGGCCGCGGACTTTGTCCACCGGTGAGCAAGAGAAAGGTGGTTCCTCGGGAAGACTCGCTGTGGTGGCCCCCACTTGCTCACCTCGGCCGGCGAGTGCCGGGCCAGGTCAGAAGGGGCTGGGGTCTGGCTGTGGCCACGCGGACGGGGGCCCAGTGGGCGACAGCCTTGCAGCTGAGGGGCGCCGCAGGAGGACAGAAGGGACCCACCGGGCCAGCCTCACTGTTCCCCCTCCCTTCTGGCCAGCAGGCCAGAGCCATGCGCCCCACCTGAGGCCCCTCTGGGCACACCTGGGGGTCCCTCTGGGCACAGACGGCACTGCTTGGTCCCCACGTCCCCGGAGCGATACGTGGAGATAGACAAGGTAAGAGCGGGGACTGGCTGTGTGGCAGACGGGGGCACCTCTGCTGCGGGGAGTTGGCCTCCCCTTAGGAACCAAACTCTTGGGCGCCTGGGAGGCTCAGTCCGTTGAGCATCTGACTTCGGCTCAGGTCATGATCTCACGGTTCATGGGTTCGAGCCCCGCATCAGGCTCTTTGCAGACAGCTCGCTCAGAGCCTGGAGCCTGCTTTGGATTCTGTGTCTCCCTCTCTCTGCCCCTCCCCTGTTAGTGCTCTGTCTCTCTCTGTCTTTCAAAAACTAAATAAATGTAAAATAAATTAAAAAAGAAAAAAAAGGGAACCAAACTCTTCCCTCCCGAGGTTGGAGTCTGCCCTTCCTGGCCTCACAGCAGCTGGCTGAGCACAGTCCACAGAGGGCCGGGCCAGCCAGGGTGTGAGCCTGGAGGGGGAAGGTTCTTGAGTGGGGAGTGGGGAGGTTCGTGGTTCTTGAGTGGGGAGTGGGGAGTGGCGAGCAGTGTGGGCAGGAGACTCCTGGGCAGGCATGACGTCTAGAGCCAGGATAGGTGACAGGCAATGATGCAGCAGGCACTTGGTGGACCGAAGAGGAGGAACGGGACCGATGGAAGAGAGGCCGGGGAGCCGGGCAGGGTGGTGGTTCTCACAGGGGGAGAGAGTAGGTGCGGCGTGGGGAGACCCGGCCCCCACTCTGATGGGCCGAGCGTGCCCAACGCTGCTGGGTGGGACAGAAGCCCTGGGCCAGCATGAGCGGGAGGACACAGCACAACTGCACGTGAGCCAGCTGTGGCCCGGCGGCCAGGGGGTGAGCCAGGCCACACGGACGCTAATGCCGAGGGCAGCCGGGAGCCCCCAGGGGAGGCGGGCCGCGGGCAGGGCCAGCTGGGGTGCAGGTGGACACCGACCGAGGAGGCCAGGGAGATAGTGGGGATGAGAAGAAGAGGGGGGATCTGGGCCTCAGCCAAAGGAGTCCCCACGTCAGGGCTGGCCTGAGGAGTTGCTGTCTCCAGAGGTGGCTGTGCCCGCCATGCCGAAAGTGGCAAAAGGGAAAGCAGGCGGGGAGGAGGGGCGTGGTGACAGGAAAGTGGCCCAGGACTTGGATCCAAGTGGACACCGGAGCAGCAGAGGCAGCAAGGCCCAGTTCCGGCTCAGGTGGAAGCAGCATGAGCCGGGGGCGGGAGGAGGGGCGGGGCGGGGTGGGGCGGGCGGCGCGGCTCCCACCAGATGCCCTCCCTTTGTCACCCTCCTCCAGGCCGTGGCACAGACCATGGACTCCGTGTTCAAGGAGCTGTTGGGAAAGACCTCCGCCCGCCAGGGCCTCGGGCCGGCGACCGGCCACTCCCCTGGCCCCGGACCCGGCAGCCTGAAGCCTCCAGCCTGCGGCCGCCTTGGCAAGAACAAAGGCTTCTCCCGTGGTCCCGGGGCCCTGGCGTCACCCACAGCGTCCCATCCTCAGGGCCTGGACTCGCCCCTCAAGCACTGACGTGCTGCTCCCTGGCCTGTCCAGCAAGGGCTGGGTTCCTGCTCTTGTCCCCTCTGCAGGGGAGGGTACAGCCGCCCCACCACACCCCTGCCGGCCCCGGCCCCGGCCTGGGCCCCTTTGGGAGGTAGCTGAAGGAGGAGGCCGGGGGCGGGCCCCTCACGGGCTTTGCGGGGAGGGCTTGTTGGGGGCTGCTGGGCCTCAGCTGAGGGTGCCAGCCTGGTGGAGGTGGGCACGCGCTGGCCACCACTTATAAAAACCTGTGCGTTGACTCCCCTGTGCGAGCTGTGCGTGTGTGTGTTGGGGAGGCAGTCTCAGAGGGTCTTTCCACGCTGCCCTACAACCCCTGTTACCCGGATCTGAGGAGTCTCACTGGGTGGAAAATGAGCTGGAACTTTTATTCGGGAAAGCGTGAGGGGGGGGGAGGGGGGAGCGAGAGAGGGCCCCTCCCCCCTTTCCTTCCTCCTGGGCTCCCTGGGACCTCAGGGGCAGGCACTGGCCAGGGTGGGAACCATGTGCCAACACCAGACCCTGGCGTCCACTGTCGCCGCCATAGCCCCTCTCCACACCCAGCACCGAAGAGCTGACCTCTGGCTCTTAGTCCCGGAACCAATTCCCAGACGGACCCCTTTTCCCAGGGGCTCCCAGGGCCAGCTCCAGGTAGGCAGCTGAGCATCGCAGAGCCGCTAGAAGGAAGGCGCCCCCTGGCTTCTCAGGAGGAAGTGTCCTTGGCCAGGAAGGAGCTGCCGGTGGCGCAGGACTCGTCTGGGGCCCCTGGGCTGGGCGGGGCCCGCCTCCGGGACCAGCAGAGCAGGCTGCGCAGCTCAGAGGAGACGCTGCTGCTGAAGGAGGCGTAGATCCAGGGGTTTGTACAGCTGTTGAGGCTGGCCAGCAACATGAGCAGCACGAAGGGGGGCCCTGTGGGGGTGGGAGAGGCTGGGCTGGGGCCGAGAGTGCCCGCGCAGCCGTGCGGCAACCCCACTTGCTTGTTAGGGAATGGCTGTCCACGGGAGCGCACGTGTGCCCGCTCGGGAGGCCCCGGCTGGATGTGCCTGCGGGGGAAAGTGCGTGTGCAGCCAAGCCTGAACGGCCCCCCGCAGCCCTAGCCACAGCTACACCCACCTTCCCGGGGCGCCTTCGGGTCCCACGCTGACCACAGCTGCACGAGGAAGAAGGGTGCCCAGCACAGCACGTACACAATCACGATGACCAGCGTCATCCTCACGGTCTTGGCCATGGCTGCCGACACCCGGGCCCCCTCACTGGGACTGCCTGTCCGACGCCCTCCACGGCAGCCCCCAGCCCTCTCTGCTGGCCCCGGCACCAGGCTGGCGTGAATCTCGCGGAAGATGAGCACCTGGCAGGCAGCGATGCCCAGGGCAGGTGCCACAAACACCATTAGGGCGATCCAGGTGACATAGGCTCGGAGGCCCCAGGGCTCAACAAAGCGGGCCCAGCAGTCAATCACCCCAGTGCCGTCACCCACGTCACGCTGGGCGAAGATGAAGAGCTGGGGCAGGCTGAGAATGAGCGAGAAGGCCCAGGCCACCAGCACCGGCCGGTTCCAGCGAGCTCCGCCTCCGTGGCGGTATGCCAGCATGGGGCGGCAGATGGCGCGGTGGCGGTCCAGTGTCATGGCCAGGATCATGTAGGAGGAGGCATACATGCCCACCATCTGCAGGTACTTGACCGCCCGGCACAGGGCATCAGGCCCACGGAAGCGGTCAGTGGCATCCCACGCCAGCTGGGGCAGTACTTGGAACAGAGCCACAGCCAGGTCGGCCAGGCACAAGTGGCCGATGAAGACATGCATGGGCGCCCAGCGACCCCGCCGGCCCCGGCGCGCCAGGGCGCCCAGCACCAAGCCATTGCTCAGGGCCACAGCCACAAAGACCGTGGAGAGCAGGGCTAACTCCGCCTGGACCAGTAGTGGGTCCCGGGTGTCCGACAGCTCCTTGCTGCCGTTGCCAGGTGGAGTAGGTCCAGAGAGGGGCCGGGGCACAGCTGGGCAGGGGTGGAGGAGGAGGGCCAGGTTAGGGTTTGTGCTGTGCAGGGGGACCTGGAGAGGCGGAGCCAGTGTGGCCTGAGCAGCCCTCAACCTGTGCCTCCTGCTTCCCTCCAGTCTCCCTGCCCCTGGCAGAGCACAAGCGTCTTGCGGTGGGGAGGGGCGTGGGGGAAGGGCAGCCCGTCTCCCAACATCCCCCTCCCCCGTGAGCTCGCAGGGCCATCCCCTCCCCTCCCCACGTTGGCAGGTGAAGGAAGTCTCTGAAAGAGAGGCTTCTCTGCTTCATCCAACCCCACTCAACCTACCTGGCTCATCCCAGTGGAGGGATTGGTGGGGGGATGGGTAGGGGCCCAGGGGCTGGAACCTTACCAGACGTGTTGGATGCCATGAGCACGGTTGGGCTCGGGCAGCTGTCTGGAGCGCCTGGAGGAGACAGGGTGTTGCACTCAGCCCCTCATCCGAGGGGCCAGCCCCACCGCCCAGTTTCTACACCAGGGCCCCCGGAGAGGTGCCACGGTGGAGGGGTGCCTGTCTGTGGGGGCGGGAGGGTGGGGATCCAGCCCGTGTGCAGCTGCGTCTGTGTGTGTTCCCATGATGAGGTGTGGGGAGTACACCCTTAGTCAGATCAAGGCTGGTGAGCTCTGGTCCCCTGAGCCAGACCCGAACCTCAGGGCCGGCTGTGCCCCTCCCAGCACCGGGCAGCTTAACGTGGACACACAAGCCCTAGGACCCACCTCGGCAGCCCACAAGACCTGAAGCAGATGGACAGACCGTTCCCTGCACCGTGCCTCCCCCCGCGGCCCGACAGAGGCCAGGAGACGCGCCCACCCGAGGGCTGGCGCTGGGTGGGGAGAGGTCGGCATGTCCCCGGGGCCCCTCGAAGCCGCTTACCTGTCTGGGCTGTCTGGGCTCCGGGCAGCTGGGCAGTGGCAGGCGTGAAGGTGGCCCCAGAGCTCAGATCTGCTCTCCATCGCCTGCCCCGCCCCAGCCCGGCCTCTGGGAGTGACCTGCCCAGGAGGGGACTTCCTCTCCCTCCCCTCCCCCACGTGCCTCTCCTGGCCTCTTGCCTGTGGCAGCGGGAAGTAGTCCCCTGGCCTCCTGTGCTGCCCTTCCTGTCCCTGCCCTCCCAGGTCTGTCCCCAAGACTCCTTCCCCCAGCTCCTGAGGGCCGGAGCCCCCCCAAGGCAGGTCCTCAGCTTGGCCATCCCCTCACCCCTGCCTGCCCCGCCCCCACAGGGCCCACCTTGCTAGAAGACTGGGTCTGGCGGGGCTCTGGGAGATCAGTTCGCTCAGCTCCATTTCATAAGTGGGGAAACTGAGGCCAGAGATGGGTGGGGCTGACTGAAGATCACACAGCTTTTGCGTGGCACGGCTTGACCCCTTTGCCAAGGCAAGCTCCTTCTGACCCTCTTGGGCCAGGGCGAGGAAGGGGTGAGAGCTGGCGTACTCCCCACTTCGTAGAGTGTTGGCTCCTCCCAGGCCTACGAAGGGCCCGCCCCTCCTCAATTAGGGCTGCGGGAGATGAGGGACAGGAAAGGAGGGTGTGGGTCGGTTCGAGCCAGGGCTTAACGTGCCCCTGTGAGAGCCAGCTTCCTCCCCGGGTCCTGTGGGGGCCAGGGACCCCCCCCTTCCCCTCCTCCCCCACCTGCAGCTACCTGTCCTCGGAGGAGGAGGCTTCAGGTCTCTGTCTGTCTCTCTCTCTGTCTCTCTCTCTGTCTCTCTCGCGCGCACACACACAGACACAGACACACGCATATGCGTGCAACAGCTGTATGCCCACAAAGGCACACACACTTGACACAGATGCAGAGAAACACACTGCGTGGAGGGCCTGAGGGGGGGCTTCCCGGCCAGGGGCTTCAGGCTGGGCTGCCCCCCCCCCGTCGTGTCCTTGGCGTCCAGGACCCCTCCCGCCTTCCCGCCAGCCTTTCCCTCCTGTGCCAGGCCCCTGGCCTGGCTCAGCCAACGCCTGCACAGCCCCTGCCCGAGGCAACGGCCTGCGGGCCCCCCAGGACCAGGCCCCGGGCCCGTCGGCCCTGTTTTCCTGTTTGTCTGCCTCCTCTGATGACCTGCGGGGCTCAAGGCCACAACAGCTCCACACGGGCCAGGCCCAAGTCCGGCCAGCCGAGCCTGAGGCCTCCTCTTCCCGGCCAGGGAGCCCGGGGTGGGGGCGGGGGCCAGCGCAGGCATGCGTCCCCCCCGCCCCGCCCCCTGCACACTGCACCCCTGCACACTGCACATACTCGTGCACATGTGCTGTACATTCAGCACGATCTCTCTCTCACACTCTCACGTGCGCGCACGCGCGCGCACACACACACACACACACACACACACACACACACCCATGCACTACACACGTAATACTTACGTTTTGTGCTGGACCCTTGGGAGACAGGTTGCAGAATGCTGACAGCCTGCATCTGAATGCGTCTGCCATGCCTCCTCAGAGCGAGAACACCCTCACCTTCTCCCCAGTAACCACACCCAGCACGTCCGTCCTGTCTTTTCTCGTCCCCAGCCCAAGGGGCTGGGGCCCGGTCTCCTCAAATACCCTCGGGGTCTCACAGGGGGATGGGACCTCCCTCGTCTGCCCTGTGGGGGGGGGGGTGGGGGGGAACCCAGGCGCCTACAGAGGAGTGTTTGTCCTGGTCTTGCCCCCCCTGCAGCTGTGTGACCTTGGATAGGCCACGCCCAGCTCTTTGGGCCTCAGCCTCTCCCTCCGTAAAATGGGAAACCAAGATGGGCAAAGACCGGGAGCCGGTAGGTGATGAGCACCCTGCACACAGGGCCAGGCTGCAGGCCAGGGCCAGAAGAACCGTTGTGGGTCTCTCTGCCGGGACCTGAGCCAGGCCACACGGGGATGGATCCCAGCAGAGAAGTGACAGGCAGGGTGGGGTCCCTACACCGTGAGGCCACTTCCTCGGCCATCTCTGCTCCCTACACTCCCTGTTTCCTGTTGTTGAGCCCGGGGTAAGAGTCCTGGGGAAGCCCCCTCCCCTCCTCAGTGGTGTTCTCCCAGCTCCAGCGCCGAGAGGCAAGGGAGGGGTTTGGGTCCACCTGCAGATATCAAGGGCAATCCATACCCACAGCTCGCCCCTGCTCAGCCAGAGCAAGCGCTGGGGACTTTCAGGAGGAACTGGGAAGCCACCGCGGCCAGAGGGCATCCTGGAGAGAGTCTGGATCCTTAGCTGAGAGCCCCCAAGGCTGAGGTGCATGCGCGGGTGCTGCACAGGCGCCATGCCAGGTGACATGCTGGGCCAGGCTGGCCGAGTCCCATCGCCTGCAGGGACGAGCTGATCGGAGGTGACAGGCCTCAGGCGGGCCCTGCCCCAGCCACCCCCGGGGGACTAGAAACGGGGCTTGGCGGCAGCTCATGGGAAAAAAGGCTGACTGACTGATGCACCATCAGGGCCACATGAGTTAGCAGAGATGGACCCTGGCTGCCCAGAAGCCCCTGTCCCCTGGGCAGAGTGCACTGACAGGCAGGCACTGACCCGGAGGCCACGCCTCCCTGAGACAGGAAGATGGGCAGGGGTTCTGGACCGGGGACAGGAGGTATCCCTGAGGAATGTTTGGGGCAGGGGGCGGGGCGAGTGGGCCCAGACTCTCCCCAGGGAGCACTGAGAATCGGGTTCTGAAGGACTGGCCAGTTAGCCTCCGTGGGCCTCGGGCCGGGGGCAGGCCTGAGCAGACGCCCCCGCACCCCTGCAGGGTTACATCTGCACAAAGGATGGTGTGGGTGGCCAAAGCGCCGGCCCACACGGCTCCAGCCCAGTGTCTGAGGAGGAGACAGGAGGCGTCGGAGTAGGCAGGTGACCAGAGCCGGCAAGCCCCGGATCTGGCTCTCTCTGTCACTGGCTCGCTCTAATCAGAACGCTTTGCGGAGCAGACAGCAAGTGTACTGGCCCTGCGCTGCGGGTGCGGGGTGGAAGGCCAGAGGAGACGGTTGCCGCCACACCGGGGAGAAATGTGGGGGCCCCGTTAACCGGTTGACAGAATGGGGAGGAAGCACGTTTCTGAGGCCCAGAATAAACCCGTGAAGGGCATTGCAGGGATGAAAGAGGAAGATGAGGGAGCCGAGGCCGTGGAGAGGAGGAGGGGTGACGGAGCCAGGAACACACGCAGGGCAGCGTCTGTTCGGGAGGCCGGAGGGGAGACAGGTGCCGCGGGGTCGGGCGAGGGAGCGAGCTGCCCCAGCTGGACATCGTCCGTCCTGACAGGGTCCCCCCTGCAGACGGCGGATGGTGCGTGGCCGCGGGAGCCTGATGTCACTCAGATACGCAGGAGAGGCTCCAACGGGGTGAAAGGGGTCAGAGGATGGGATCAAAAGGGGCAAAGGTGCATTTCATAAAAACGCGTGCGTGCGTGTCATGAAACCGATGGTGACGGCAAGACGGGGCATCCACTCACCTGAGGCCCAAATGAAAGCGAGTAATTTTTTTTTTTTAATTTTGTATGTCTTTATTTTGAGAGACAGAGACAGAGACTGAGCAGGGGAGGGGCAGAGAGAGAGGGAGACACAGAATCAGAAATAGGCTCCAGGCTCTGAGCCGTCAGCACACAGCCCGACGCGGGGCTCGAACCCACGAACCGTGAGATCATGACCTGAGCCGAAGTCGGACGATTAACCGACAGAGCCACCCAGGCGCCCCATGACTGAGTAATTTTGAAAGTTAGACAAAGCCTGCTTGCAAGTTTCGGGAGGGAGGAGAGTGGTACTTGGAGCCCCGAAGGCTGGCGGGAGCAGGGTCCCCCGCAGGACTGGGAGCACCCCTCGCTTGGGCCGAGGACCTGGGGGGTAGGAGGCAGGTGAGCAGTTGAGGGCTGTGTCCCCAGGGAGGTGCCAACCCGAGGGGAAGGCAGCCCGGCAGGAGGCGTCTCCTTTTTGGTCTGAGTTACCCAGGCACGTGGCTTAAAGTGGCAGATTGTTGGGGGGCACCTGACTTCAGCCCCTTCCAGGGGCTCCCTGGGTAACTGCCGACACCTCGCTCCGTAATGAGCCTCCAGCATTCTTTCCCTGCCACTGCCCCACACCCTTCTTCTTCCCCTCACCTCCCTCCCGTCCACTTATGGCTGTATCGAGGGCATCATCGTTGGTCGGTGCGTCCACTATTCTGCCTGCCACGATGTACGCGAGGATTTTTCTCCTTGTCCTGCCTCACTTTTTAAAATCAGAGGGGCGCCTGGGTGGCTCAGTCAGTTAAGCGTCCAACTTCGGCTCAGGTCACGATTTCGTGGTTCACAGTTTTGAGCCCTCCGTCGGGCTCTGTGCTGACAGCTCAGAGCCTGGAGCCAGCTTCGTGGATTGCGTTTCCCTTTCTCTCTACCCCTCCCCCACTCATACTCTGTCTCTCTCTCTCTCTCTCTAAAATAAATAAAACATTAAAAAAATTTTTTTAAATCAGACTTTTTGAGGTCTGATTAATAGTCAATAAAATTCACAAATTGTTTAATGAGATCTGACGCATGTACACAGTGATACACCACCATAATCATGACGTAGAGCATTTCTATCAACCCAGAAAGTTCCCTCACGGCCCTTTGCAATCTCCTTCCCCCACCTAGAGCCTTGCAACCATGACCTGTCAATCACTATTGATGTGTCTTTTCGAGGATTTTATATGAGTAGAATCATAGAGTATGTAGTATTTTGTGTCTGGCTTCTTTCACTCAACAGAATTCCTTTCTTTCATGTCTGTTATGTGTATTAGGAATTAGTTCCTCTTTTGTGCTAAGTAGTGTTCTTCTGTCTGGATGGACCACAGAGAATTGATTCCATTACTAGTTGATGAACACGTGGGCTATTTCTAGTTTGAGGCTCTTGTGAATATGGCTGCTCTGAATCTTGAGAGCCTTGGTGTGCACATGTTTTAGTTTCTCCAGAGTAAATCCTTAGAACTGAGGCTGGGGGGTCAGTTG